AAACATTGGCAAACAGGTCCTTCGTGGGACAGAGGTAAAGGAAAACCTGTAAGAAAAAGTAAACAAAAAGTCATGAATCAAAAAGGTCTATCTGGCAAAAGTTACATCACAAATTGCGGTCATTCTGACTGCGCTTTAGGAGACCGGAATCTGGCATCTTGGATGAGATCCTAATTCTAGTTGAAAATCTTCTTTCTTGAGTTGAAACAAATCAAAATGAATATGCAAGAAAATGAATTTATAAAAGAATATTAGGTTTTGATACCGTTAGGAACTTATAGTAGTGTAATAATACATCCAACTAGTGCACTCATTGCACAATACTATGATACACAGAGTGTTCGAGGTGGTTTAACTGCTTGTCCCCGTTATCTTGATCATCGTCTGTTAGGGTCACGCGTATATCTTATTTGTTTTCCGGACCGCAACCCAAAGACATTCATTCGTCCTTCTCACATTTTCCTATTCTTACATCACCGACCTTCGCAATCAACAAGGAAACATCGGAGTGTGTTTTCGTATCTTTGGTTATGTAATGACCATAAATGATCCGATGAATAATATATTGAACATGAATTTACTCCAGTAATCATTGTGCTAGCTGATGTAAACTGGTAACAGAATAGGCAGCTCAAACAATAATCAATGGCGGACCGTTTAGTTTCCGAATGAACATCATTTCCTTCTTCCCAATCGGGGGCCTATATCGTTACAATACAATGCAATCTACCATGATTGAAGTTTTGGAGCTAACCATTCTTCAACTATATACATACCTTCATGAATCCTTACCGAATTTGATACGGAGACAATAGACCACGTTACCATCTTTCTTGTTCCTAGGCACAGGAGTCCATTAAAGTGTCCACTTTACAGGTCTCGTTCAGTTTGCTATCCCCAGCTTCTATTCCAAATACCTTGCAATTGTGCGATTTGTCATGTACAAATAAGATACTTCAATTTTCCTACCTTTTTTCGAGAAAAATGCCGTCCCACGTCTGTCTCCATGAACCGACAGGTGAGAACGGACGGTTTTAAGATAGTACTAAACAGTTTTTTTTAATAATCCAATGGTCATAGTAGTGTTTTATATGCGGGCGCGCAGATATCTGGATGTCAACACTTATTATGTCTCTATTTTTGACAAGCTGCCACCTCCGGCTACTGTGAAGCGAGGAACTCAACAAGCCGGTTATTTTTCACCGGAGCCAATGAGCCTGATGGTGTCGCCCAACACCTGTCTATAGACTGAAATTTCGCAAAAGGTTTGAAAGTTGTACCCCAAGTAGCCTTGGAAACTATAAAAATAAAATTTCCCATTAATCGTCCTTACCACGCAACAAGCGTGTTTCAATCATGAATGAAATGTTCACATTTATCTAGGCGAGTAAGTAATATATCTAAATATAAACTGGTAAGCGTTCTCTTATTCTGCATACATTCCTTGTTTGCTGAGTCAAAAATAAATTTTCCGGCCTCTCCTATCACAGAATATAAACGGTCAGGTCTGTTCGCCCCTTCCCTTTTCCCCTAGTTTCAGTGAGCACCGTATTTGTGTTTGTTTAACTTAACAAAATTCGAACCTTTATTCATGTGCAATAAAATTTGGTCAATTTTTGAGCGATCACATACTGGTCATGGGACTGAGTTCCCGTTTATTTCCCGCACGATTTCAAGGTCAGTTTGGCGGAGTCCGCTCGGGCCGAGCTCTGCATTGTTACAATTCTAATCCGGTGACGATCGTACCACGACACTCCAATCATTGATCGGAAGACGTACCAGCAGTGATCCGGATCTGAGTACGCACTGATGCTTTCACCAAAATGAGACGTATTTTTGGTTTCGCGAATAGTAATGAATTAGTTTGTCCAAATTTTGTTTTGCGAAAATAATGCACAATCGTATTTGGTATATATTTAGTGAGTTGAGGAATCAGCGGACTTATTTTGTTGTGTACGAGAATATGTAAATAGATATCTGCTGGAAGCTCAGCTGTCGGACAGTGAATCCGCGCGTTAGAGTGCATTACTTTCATTCATTTGACTGGATTAAAAGTGGGGGGCGGGGGAGGAGGGTAAAATATTGACTGTACTTGTTTTCGTACTGACGGGCGTTTGTTTTGAACTTCCGAAGCCCGATTGAGCTGACGTGTGGTGGGTGAATCGGTCCCCAAGGTGCCTATTGTTATCTGACAAGCCCATACAAATGGCCGGCACTGCGAACGTGATTTCTGTACATGATGAATTCGTCGTGTAAGCTGAAACGTTGGGAAGCAAAGGAACGGCTGTTCCGATCTGGTTAGGTCTCGTCAGCAGTGCGAACTCATCCACCAAACTAGGGATTGAACTGCTGGTCGATTGGGTTGTATACTTGCGTTCTATCTGTGAATTCCTGGGTTCGATCCCCAGTTGGGTCGATGAATTCGCACTGCTGATGAGACCCAACCAGGTCGGAACAGCTATCCAGTGCCTTCTAGCTTTTCAGCTCACGTCTCACTCACACGANCACACGACAAATTCATCATGTGAAAGTGATTTCACCATGCACTAATCCGTTCGAATAGGAGTGGGGAGGGGGTTCATCATGTTGGTAAATTTGAATGTTTGTGAAGAATCACATTCATCAGACGGTGCGCTCTTCTCTATTTGTGGAACACAGTACGGCTGAATCCGCGTTACTTTCCTCACAATGACACATAAAGGATTTCTCAACGAGTTTTCAATGCAAACTGAGTCCCACTCATAAATTTGTCAAACACCTGGAAATGGTGATTTCAGATTGATCAACAGAGTAACACCTCTTCTTGTATTCACAAATCCGTGTAAATAGGGATGACACTAGTACGTACTTCCGTTTACGTCTTATGTACAATTTATACTTATTCTCGATCACAGTTAAAAGATGACCGATTGTGGGAACCCCTTCGATGAAATGAGATTAAGCACACATATTGCAGAATAAAATGAAACGTTTTTCAGTGTAAGATTTTCTAAAAATATACCAATTTAACCTTTCCAGAGGTTTGAGAACTAATAGAAACAGCAAGTGAATATCTATGATAAATAACGGAATTCCACGACCATTGCTCCGTTAAGATGACTTGAAGCTGCCATGGACTCTCTTCCGATTGATATGTCTACGAGAAGCAAATCGTCCAGTTTCCATTTTTGTGTTTACATGGTACTGGACTTGTAGGATTGCAAATGGATCGACAGGAAACGACAATGGTGTTTAAATGCGATATGTTTTCAGTGATAAAATTGGATACAAGAGTATATGCCGTGATCAGTTCGGGTTTGTTATCAGATAATCAACACCTTTGGCGGAAATTTGAGTAACAATTGCCCCAAAACGTGGTGTGATATTTCAATCCAGTTTCTTTTTAGTTGGATGTGTTGATAAACAAAGCCGGAAAGATATAACAGAAGACGAAACCATTTCCGATCGCCTGAGGAATGAAACAACGGATGGAGAAGCATGTTTTCATAAAAACGGAGACGGAATATATGTCGCAGGTTTCAAAATACTCAGTAGATGTTATGTAGTCTACGCTAGCTGCCTGTAGCCATTCCCACTCATCAGATTCCGCGCTCTTGATACTGTTCATGAGCATGAGATCCGTGTAACAGACAACACCTTGCACTTTAACCCAACCCACAGCAAGTACAGATAAATTGTATTCAGCCTACATTTTCCTTGTAGGAAAAAACGTTTTGCATTTGAGGAGAATTAGTCGAACAAAATAATACAAATTCATCAAAAAACAGAACAAATTTATTGAACTCGAGCTAAGAAGAGTTCCCAGGGTATTCTCTCGCTAAAGTAATAAGCCAACTGAGCGAGCATTTTAGATGTTCAGCGAATCCAGAAGCTTGATTTTCTGCGGCCACATTTAATGCCCAAATGCTGATTAGAAAAAGAGAAAATTTAAATTATCACACAAAAAGTACGCAACAAAAGCATTTTAATTCTCAGGCAGTCTGGATTCATACCTGTAGGTAAACGTGCCTTGAAGTCACAAGGTTATTGGATAGCCCTGTTGGTCCGTGATCATAGTCTTGATTCGTTGAAAGCATGGAGACAACAAGTGATCATGGAGAACTGCAACAATACATGCGAATGTAGTGCGTTCACTGCTAATCCGTGTCTACAGAGACCAATGCTCGAGTATCATCATTAATCATGCACCACAGCGTTCACCAGGCGAACTCAATTTAAAAATACTGGGGCAGATATTATTGCATGTTTTCAGCACTCGTCAACGGGGCATACGATTGGCGTTGCTGTCATAATAGAAATGAAAACGTACTTGTGGAACATGCGATCGTGGTAAGCCAACCCGAGAAGTACATGTAATTCCTGTTTGAGGATCCGATTAATGCTTATATATTCGAAAATGTTTTATCTGGAAAAATACTTTCCTACATACAAGAGGTCGAGAACATCATCCGGTCTGGAGGAACATTGGTGTATTTAAGTAATGTTCGGATAAGATCGCACAGTAAGTATGAATAAAGCATTTTATCCTACATGCTCCGTGTTTCTGCGTTACGATCTAAGCTGCTTAAAAATCATATCCTGGTCACCACAGAGGCGGCTGAATCGTTCTGCAAGAATTGTACTAACCTGTAAGAGTAAAGAAATACCTTGAAAGGATTCCATGTTCAGCGGATTTGGTTCTTTCCTAACTCCGGACAAGCATTCAACAGTTCAACTATTCAAAATATACTGTTATGTGTGTGAAAGGACTAGTCAGGTTACAGTTACGTTGGAGATTTGAAGACCTTTTTTGTTGATTGATAAAGTTATGCTCCAAGTTTCTTCTTTTCCGAGTGCACACCGATTCCCAAAGACAGAAAGCACAAGAGAGGGTTTTTCGATCAGGATCAACTGTTGAGGATAGGAACAAGCGTTGAACGTTACTCGCACTGCTCTGACAAATTTAAAACTAGAAAGCTCCCTCGACGCTCATTCAAAACCATTGGTCAGAAATTGAGGATTTTGTGTGAAGTTCGAAACATTTGCGCTCAAACATCAAATCATGCGGCTTTCCTCTGTCCGATTGTCTCATCCATCCGGGCGATAACGCATGCTGCATGCTGCATTGGGACCAAAAGCAGGCTGAAAAGCAAACGGGAATTGCGCGAGCTGGTCCAAACCTCCCGTACACTCAGCAGTTTTGGGCTTTGAGTCAGCTGCAGTCTCCCCGATTTCTTGGATCCTACTTCCATCTGTGAAATGCAGCAACTGCATCATCAATGTTTTACTTGGTCCCGGATACACGAAAAATCGTTTAAAAGGAGGTTTACCGATTCTGCTCGGATTAAACTGTGTGACTTGTGAATCAGCCCATCCCCGAGTACATTTATGAGCGAAATACTGGCAGAACCAATCATCAGGTAGAGAGTTTTCAGCCACAACGAATCAAATGGTCAACCGAGAATTCGGATATTTTACATTTTCTCTCAAGCAGTTAGTCGTTGTACAGCATTTACCCCGGGTCTTCGGTTTGTCGATGGCCAATAAACAAGAAGTGTACAAGGTTTTTCAGAAAACTGATGACTTGAAAATGTTTGTCGGTGGCACCGGGATTAAGCATACATGTGACAGGCTGATTGATCGTTGAGTGCTTACCGATAACTTAAACACTGGAAAACAATTTGCGGGTGATCTAGAAGCATAAGAGAAAAATCAGCAAAAATCACAGATTATTCATCAATCAGACCCTTTCTCATCGTAACTGCCTGTCAGATAGCAAGCAAAGTAAAATATGAACATGGTACTTGGACAATCTCAAACGAATGACAACTGGTTTATTGCTGTTCGATAATCGATTTTTATAATGTTGAGGGGGTTCGGTATTTGTCTTTGTCAGCTGTCAGTTCAGTTTGTTCTTTCATTAAATAGACTGATAGAGAGACGGTTATCAAACGCGTAATATGTTGAAGCGATTTTCGAAATCACTCTCACATTCAATCAATCAATCAGGTGGACTAGCTTGTCTCGTCGTGAGTTTTGCAGACCTATCTGTATTCGATTCCATTAAATTTCGTGCTTGGCGGAAATCTTTCTAGCTGCACGCGGATTACGTTCTCAAACCCTGCATGGGATGAGTGAAAATGAGCAATGTTCGTCCAATTTTACAAAGATCTACAGGTCCTACGGAACGATTTGCAACCACGGTTACAAGGTAACTTAGATGTTCACTTAAGCAAGAGATTTCCAAAGAATTCAGAAGTGACTTATAGCGTAACATCTTCATGCAATACAAACACAGATCATTGGAAACTTAAAGAATACTGTCCAGCTGTTTCAGCGTTATTGGGATCTACAGTCAGGCAAGTTAGTGTTGCATTGTCAGCATTTAGCTTGAATAACACTATTAATCAAAACGTAGCTCGATGAAGCCAATTCACGAGGCTTTCCCTGAGAGTCTGATGGGCGATCTGGTAATGAAGCTGATGGTTAAGCTCTTTGTGGCCTTATCACAGATTTCCTTTTGTGCTTAAGGAACGAGGCTCTCACATGGGCAAATATGCAAGTTTTGCTTATTTTATCCTACTGAGCATTTCGTTTACCTTACAAATAGTATTCAAGGAACTGCAAATGCTTCTCCTTACCTGCTATTGAATAGATCTACAGAAAATGCATGAAAACTTTAGTAATGATTGAGTTAGAACGCGTCACTGTGTAACATTCCAGAAGGAGTGTTGAAACGTTTAGTCACAAACTGCATTGCGAGCCGAATGCACTGAATGCATGTTGA